CTTACTGGAAGTACTGTTTCAGTGTGACAAATGAAATCGGAATGGTGCTGGTCGGTGGAACTGGAGTGAGCGTGTTTCATCAAATTGACGAAGAAGAATATAGAGCTTTCGGTGTCGCCCAGTTAAAAGTAACTGTTTATAACAATTATTCCAAAACATTTTTTCGAAAAGTAAACAGTTTTTGAGTGGGAAAAGAAGTACATTGCACGTTAAATTTGCAGAAATGGTTAGCGGCACATCGCGATGGAGCGAATATTTTTAAATACAATGCCGTTGTTGAGAAAAATATGTATCCGAACGGAAACGAAAACGTGTGAGTTCTATGTTTTGATTGGGATGGGTTGGGTTTCTATGTGTTTTCTTCTGTACAATAGCTGCCATAGGTTGTGTATGTGTTTGTTTGCGTTTATTTTTGTGTGTGTGTCCGATGCAACTTGTCCGCAACTTTCAACTCGAGAACTACAAAAGCTAAGAAACTGAAATTTTAAGGTAATGTCTTCATCAACGTCCGACTCCGCAAATTTGATAGCCTTCACGCGCCCCTGCATACCACCTAGGACTCCGCGAAAGTTCCGGTAGGGGAATTATTATCGCATAAACTGTAAAAGCTAGTGCAAAAGCTAGTACAGAGCTAGTACAAAAGCATTATCGCATATTTTACGATGATGTCCTCTGCTCATGTGCAACTCCGTAATTTTGAATTCAGCCTTCTCCTACGTCAGAATGCCATGTGTGACACCATGGAAGTTTTGATGGGAAAAATCGTTATCTCGGGAGCCAGAAGAGCTAGGAGGCTTTAAACTTAGGAAGGTTTTTTCCTAAACAGGGAATTCGGCTCTTAAATATGCCGGAATCTCACATATGATCACGTGAAAGGTTTGTCGCAACAATCACCCGATGACGAGAAATTTAGGAGATTGAAATTTTGGAAGAATATTCACTCTTCGAGCTTTCACTCACCGGTGCGAAAAATTTTTGGTGGGAAATTCAACAGCTTAGGAGCCAGACAACGTTTCAATTATTTTTGTACAGACCAAATTGCAAAATCACTAGCAGGCAAACTTTCGCCCGACGGAACTGTAAAAAACGCTTGATAGCACCGGTTGCCCTGCTGCACTCGC